TCGCTAACTCGTGCCTGTCAGCTTGTCTGTGGTAAGACAAGAAAAGATTGTCCGTCTTTGTTTAACTCACGCCACACGCGACATATAGTACAGAAAGAAACATATTACCGACATATGACGTGCAGCGTCATTATACGGCAAAACAATGAACTCAATGGAGTGAGAAAATGACATATACTGCAGTATAATACTGCTGTTGACAGCCAAATTTTTTCTTGCGAAATGTGGTTATATTATTTACTCTAGTGGACTTTTGTGACATTAGACATATTGTGGGAACCTGCAAAATATTCCGAGTTCTCGGCTTTTCGTGATATACAATACGTGGAAGCATAATTTACACTCGTTTGATCAGCTGTTTGACCACACGTTTTCTCGCGTAGACAGGCCTCATTTCACTGCTTATTTTATGACTTTGTATGAATTGCCCAAGGAAAAGGTGAGAACTCGGAACTTTTTACAAGTATGTTGAAGTGATTTCGAGTGCTGTTTGTCAAGAATATCTTTTTACTTAGATATGGCACGCAAGAATTCTTGACGTGCCGTTTCTCGCTTCTGACGTCATAAAACCAATATGGCCGCGGCGAGAGGCCAGGAGCCTTAATATCTCAATATTACATGCGGACGCATCTTAATGACCTTATGACGAAATATGTCTATGGGTGCGTTCGTTCTGGACGCTCACATACTTAAAGCGCTCACGCTTATGAGCGCTATTTTTGCCCGGTTACTTTGATTTCTAAGCGCACTCATCGAAAAGATCAAAACCGTTTCCTTTGGCTGTTGTAAGCAATTGTGAACGTAAAAATGGAGGATAAAGATAAGAAAATTGTTTGTATATTTGCTCAAATATTAGTTTTATTAGATGTTTTTGATGATAACGAAACAAATAACTTATATAAAGAAGAATTAGAAAAGTATTTATCCGTAATGATTGAATCAATAAAAAAAAAACAATATCTTGGTTAAAAAACTATGTGGAAGTGATTGTACCATTATACAATGATGAAATATTTAAGTCACATTTTAATAACTTTTCACTTTATAACTTTTGTTTTATTTAAGATCAACGATTTTAACTTTCATATAATATTCATGTTTTATACAACAAAATATGAAGATTTAGGTAAATTTGTGAGAAAGTCCGTTTCTTTCATCAAATGTATTACTAGTGTTGCTGAAATATTACTTATTTTTTTTTAAATTACTGTTGGACAGTGCTTTATTACTCAAAATAAATATGATTTAATAACAAAAATAATAAATTTTTATGAGAGGTGTCCTAAACTTACCTGTTTCTACACGTTTTGCTTCATTTGATGTAACAACAAGTATATACATTTTATTATTTGTAACATCTTGCAGAGTTACTCTGGTTTTGTTACTTTCGTTGGAAGTCATTTTGAAACACTATTTCACTTTAAGGTTTATATTGGAGGTTAGATTGCGTCGATTTCATCGACGCAATCTAACTTATCGTTCTCTTTGGAAAATAAGCGCTTATAAGTGCTCACGCTTTTACTGCCTTACCTCGATAGAAGAAGTGAATGTAAGCGCGAGTTATGACGTCACGCATGACGTCAATATTCTAAGCGCTTATAGCGCCAAAGTAAACGACGTGAGCGATATTTATAAGCGCTTAAAGCGCATAAGCGTTCAAAGCGAACGCACCCTATCATTTCCGATGTATTTTTTCAAAAATGTAACGCGGTAACCAAATTTGGGCTAAGGATTTGTGCTCAGCGGGCAAAAATACATCGAAAATGACTATTCACATTCGTACAACAACAAAAAAATTACATTTTGTCGTTCGGTGTCATTCACCGGCACAACGTGCATTTCTGCTAAGAATAAAAGAGGAAAGCGTGATACATGGATATTAGAGCGAGCGAGACACTTAGGCACTTAGGCAGCGCGGTGTCCTTATAGCTGTCTCGGTCATATTCTCTGCATTCAAGTGTTTCGTGAGTGAGAGAGCTATTGAGGACACCACTAACAACTGGTAACGTCTGCTGTTGTTTTCTCTCTCGATCGGATAACGTGCGATGAGGATGCAACATCGGAATGTCTCCCATCACTTCCCTTATGTTCCTTCTTCGCTTCTTTCGCGTTGTATATAAGACGTACAGTATGCCCTTCGTATATGTCTGTTGTCGCTTTTGACTGTTTGACAGTATACGGGCTCGCCGAGGAACACCATAGGTGCTTTCCAATTGCTTAACACATTTTGACACACACGTACACAAATCAGTTTATTCGTCACATATTATCTAAAATATCTTGTAAGATAATATGCAACCAATAAATTAGTTTTGTGTAACACAGTGTACGCAATTGAAAAGCACCCCATACCTGCCTCTGAGTGTACATACATTATTTTTTTGCAGCAACGTAGTGATGGTCGATAAATATAACATCGTTCTTACCGATAATGAATGCTATCTTCGCCGAAAGATGGCGACAGAGGTGACCTAATGTCCCTGCCGCCACGCGTGTACACAGACGGTCCTTTCCAACGTGCATCCGTTTCCTTTTTCGTTGAGCTCTGAAAGAGGTTAGTGATTGTATTGCACGGTTATTCGTAATCCGTGTTGAACTTATCAATCATAAGACTCATCAGCGGCGTGCTGTTTCCGTGCGCATCTGCGATAATTGATTGTACGTCGCGGCCTATTATGCATGAAGAGATCTTTCGTACTAACGAGTAATTTTATATTGCAGAACCAAGATGGTACAACGATTAACCTACCGACGACGTTTGTCGTATAATACTAAGAGCAACAGGAGACGTATGTAAGTACTGCTTTGGGGACGATAATGAACATTAAGCTCATACGAGAACGTAGATTCTTGTTAGTGACGAAATTATTTCTACACGTTGTCTGTTAGTTGCGGCACGCACCCGGAAATTTGAGGTTATGTTTTGATCTCTTGTTTTAACTATGCAATACTCACGTGCGTGAAACACTGAGTGCGATTATTGGATCTGTTCCTTTTAGTTGAACTGTTAAATTGTACAATTTGTCTGTAAAAAATGAAGAAAAAAAAAATATATATATATATAATCTATTGTTGAATGGAAAAGGAGCAAGATTCCACTGCAACTCTAGTTCAGTTGAACAGATCTATTGTAGTGTGGAAGGTTACTTTTGATACATTGTGTGATAGTTTATACCTTTATTTGGCTATTAGTACTGTAAATATTCAGCCTACAAATTTCAGAGTGTATCAAACTGTTGTGTGATATTTTTTTCTAAGTTTCTTGATAGACATTTTATAGCAAATTCAGTTGCTTGCACTAGTGTGCACTAAGGCTTGTTCATATTATGTTATTATATTTAAAGATTGTCTTAAATAAATTCTCAAATATTTTTAACCATAATATGATATGTACCACATCCGTACGAATTATTTTATTAGCTAAAATGTTTTTAAATATATATTTAAGACACGATCTTAAATATAAGAATGTACTGTAAATAAGCCTTAATGTGCACTATCTGTAGTGCAAGCTACTGAATTTGCTATTAGATTCTTTTGTAATTTTTTTTTATTAATATACAATTTATTGTTCTAAAAAATTAATTGACAAATGTGTTTACAGTGTACGTACACCTGGTGGCAAGTTAGTCTACCAGTATCTTAAGAAACCGAAGAAGATCCCAAGATGTGGACAGTGTAAGGATAAACTCAGGGGTATCCAGCCTGCGAGGCCAATGGAACGCTCACGTATGTGCAGACGGAAGAAGACTGTCAAGCGCGTATACGGTGGTGTTCTTTGTCACAAATGTGTAAAAGAAAGGTATGTGTGTTGTAATTACATACATACAATTACATAAATATAATCCTTAAATATATAAATTAGAAAGTTAAGTATAATATTACATCTGAAATTTTTAATTAAATTGTGAATATATCTGAAAGAAAACTGATTAATTGTGTCTAAAATTAAACTTTAATAATAATTTTTAAATAAAAAATTGACCAAATTACATAACTTATGAAATTTGTGTTAATATAATATGCTATTTTCAGAATTGTGCGAGCATTCTTAATTGAGGAGCAAAAGATTGTCGTTAAGGTTATGAAAGCACAGCAGGCCTCAGCAAAAACGAAGAAGGCGGAGAAATAATTATTGTGCTTTTTTAATTAAAAGAAATAAATAGAGAAAACAACATTTTGCGCTTCTATATATTTTCGACCACGAAAAAAATGATTAAACAGACTAACTTCTGTAAGAATAATGCTAAAAAAGTTTGAGAAACATTTTGCAGTATTAAGTCTAATTTTCAAATATACGAACATAAAGTTTAATTAATTTTTACAATGTTCATAAACACAAATCAATATCTTACAAATACCAAAATTTGTTATGAGATATATCAAATTTTGCATCAAGTAGATAAAAATTACAAACAGATTACATTTACATTATTTATAAAAGTGAATGTTTATCTTTAATTTGTGTGCAAGCAGGAAGTTTATTATGTTTCTGTGTAAAAAATTAAAATACGAAAAGTGAGCGAATTCATTAAATATTGACCAATAAAATTAGAAATATTCTAGTAAATTCGCTCACTTTTTGTATTTTTACTTCTCACACAGAACCGTAATAAACTCCCAGGTTACAAATTTTTTTTCATCTAATTAATGTTTAAATAAAAATGGCAAAAATTTGAATTTTGATCATTTACAGTAGACGCATTAATTAATATACAACATTTGCTTGGCAAGGGGTAAAAGCTTAAAATTTTTTTCTTTAAACATTTAACATAGGTTTGATAGAAATTAATTTTCATTAATTGTAAAAACTAAAAGATGTTTGAAAATCAAACAGTCCATACTGTTAAGAATTTAATATGTCTAAAAAGTACAAACTTCAATTTCCAAAATAATTTTTTAATTGTTCCGGTTTCATTATTTTTACCAAAATTGCAACCTATTATATACACAAACTTCTACTACTAGACTACTCTCTCTCTCTCTCTCTCTTTCTCTCTCTCTCTCTCTCTCAACTCCGACTCAGTACATAACTCCATAAAAATATGTACAGAAATCTCGCGTATACGCATATTTGGTGTTCCGACTTACTACACCTATTGTGGATCGGGATGTATGATACGGACGGGAGTAGGCAGGAGCAGCTATTGAATATATTAGTTATAGATGGGAGCATATACTACTCTGTCCGAATCCAGATCTCACTCGCTCCGAACTCGCTATCATAATGGCTCCTGCACACAGGACGCGGTAATGCTTGCCGCGCGGCGGAAGTTCGCGCAACAGCCAATCAATATGTTGTTTTTCCGTAAGAGCTAGAAAGTTATTACGGAAAGCAACATATTGATTGGCTGTCGCACGAACTTCTGCGCGGCAAGCATTACCACGTTCTGTGTGCAGGAGCCATTAGACTGCTAACTCCAACTCATAGCGAATTCGGTTGCTTGCACTAGTGTGCACTGAGTGCGCACTAAGGCTTGTTCATAGTATGTTATTATATTTAAAGATTGTCTTAAATAATTCTCAAATAAATTCTCAAATATTTTTAACCATAATATGATATGTATAACATCCGTACGAATCATTTTATTAGTTAAAATGTTTTTAAATATGTATTTAAGACACGATCTTAAATATAAGAATGTACTGTAAACAAGCCTTAATGCGCACTCAGTGCGCACTAGTGCAAGCTACCGAATTCGCTATCAGTCATTGATTGCGTTCAGCAGGGAAAGCTGCTTTGTAACTGTTGTAAAATTCGTGTATCTGATTGGAGTATGTTCTTAATTTTGGTTAAATCCAAGAGCATGTACCAATCAGATTCACGAATTTTACACAGTTGCAAACTTTGACTATATAACCATGGACCTTTAGCCACTATCTTGTGTCTGCAGCAAAACGTCTATCAACATCTGCAGCATCGCCAGGACCAAACAACGGCTACTACGTAAACTAGCCCATACTTGTGATTTCTATTTTACCATATGAAAGATATTTTGTATGTGTGTCCGTGATCATAAATTGCAGTTATCATTAAAATATATGAAAAATTATTATGATATATATTTCTTTAATTCTCAATAACAGACTTTTTCATTTTTTCTTCAAATAAATTATTACATTAAAAAAAAAGTTATACAACTTTGCTATAATATAAAAATCAACAATTTTTAAAGTAACAAGAAAAAAAAATCTGATTTGCAAGGAAAATATAGAAACAAAATATAGAAACACATAATAAGATATTTATATAATTTTATACCAAATTTGCATTTATTATATTACGTAAAAATATATAATATTTATATAATATATTTATATAATAAGAGATATAATATATGAATAAAAAAAATATATATTAAGAATGTTTG